AGCCTCATAGAGCAGCGCATCCTCGTAATGGAGCCATTCAGAGGCTGCTATGTGGATGAGTGAAAAGGAATACATTACCTACTAAATTGAGAAGCACCATTTCATAAAAGCACTATCATTCATTATTTTGCTATTAGGTCTTGCAGGCACGTCCCACCACCTGGAGGACGTCGGCGCTTTCCTTCTCCGTGTGTCTGGGTCGTGGCCGGTGCAGGTGAGGGTTTGAAGGAGTTCTCTAAATGCTGCTACTTTCAATTTCTCGTGGGAATTCCCATTGGTTTCATCGCTGACTTTCACAGCCATTTCTGTCCTCCTGTGACTGCCTTCCTTATGCTAATTGGAAAAGGTATCCATAAAAAGATCTCGGTTCTAAATAGATGGTGAAATGGCAGGTGAGAGCTGATCACTGGTGGGAGCCAATCTTAATGTCTCCCCTTTCCCCTGGGAGATGCGGGGAGGGTGGCAGGGAGTGGCTTTCCCTTGAAAATTAAGCGCCCCTTTATTTTACAAGCTCCCTGAAGTAGGAGCCCTAGCATTTTGTGTTAATTTTCTGTTTAATCAGTGTGTTGGGAACCAGATCACTTTCTGCTTCAGGGGTCCCCGTGGGACGGAAAGGAGACGTGTCTGGGAAGGAGTGGCCAGAATCTGCAGGGCCTGTTCCTCACCTGGAGATGGGGAATGGTCCCCATGAGGTGGGAGGGGCACGAGAGGCTGTAGGGACTGTGCAAGCCCAGGGGATTGTCCCACCCAGGGGACCGAGGAGGAGGCAGCTGCAGCGACCACACTGTGAGAAGGAGACAGTGGGAGCACGCAGACCTCCGGAGAACCATGCACAGCCCGTCAATCCATGGTGCACTCACTCCCTGAGGGAGATTCCAAGAAGTAAGATGTTTCCACCAGTGGGAAAAGGCACAAGGAGAGCTCAGAGCCTGGGCTGTTGTTTCACGCTTCCCCTGCTCTTACAACAATCCTCACATTGCTACTCCCCAGATATGTCTGCTCTGTGACATATTGCACGGCAGCGGAGCGCCCCACCGCTCGCTATGCCTTAACTAAACATAAGCAATACCAAAAGGCTGTGCTTGGATTTCCAAGGACGTGAACAAACGCTGCCGAGGGTCAACATGTGCTTGGCCGTGAAGGTGCCCGACCCCTCTCTGCTTCCTAGAGGCCTGTGGACCAACGAGAAATGCCTAGTGGGGCTCTGGGCACCCTTTTGCACAAGATATGTCAAAAGGAATGCACAATGCAGAAAATTCGTGTGTGCAGGAATGAAACGGGCTGCCCGCACAGAGTAGACATTGCACCAAACACCTACTCCTCCTCCTGCCTCGTGAGTTTGGAAGCCAAGCTTGCCTGAGAAAAATAAACTAATCAAATCCACACTCCAACAGCTGGGGCCAAGTCTCCAGGTACAAACATGTAAATGATTCCTGGAAGATTTTTTTTGAAATCAAAGAAAAGATTTTTCAAGGTCAAAACACCTCCAAGACTCAAATAAATAAATGTCTAGTGGTGGAATTTAAAGTACTCTGAATAGCGGTGGGAGAGAGATTTTTGGACTGGAGTGTTTCCCTGGCCACTCTTAAATTTGTTTCATGTCATACATCAGTGTCCTTGTGTTGGAGACAGGAAGTACAAATACCTACCTATTTAATTAAACTTTTCAAAGGGATGTTTCACCCTTCTAAGGTATCAATTCTAGAGTTTTTCCCCTGTAGGTCTTTAAGCAGACTCTAACACGTTCACCTCCAGTTCTTGCATATGATATGTCTTGATAAATCACGGCCCTTCTACTACAGTAGTTCCTTCTACCCCCTCCAGTCTTTCTTTCTTGTCACCATCGTGTTCTAGGAATCAATGTACGTGAACCAGAAATAGCAGCATCATGTTCTGCTCCTCCTTCTGGCCATTCCATTTTGCTGCCAAAAGGCAACTGAGAATGTTCCAGAGCTTGTATCTAGATAGGCAGAGTCCCTCCCAATGCATTACTTTATTTCTGTTTTAATGTCTCACCAGCTTCATTTGGTCATCAAAGCAGTGACTTGGTCAGAATTATTATTATCCCCAATTTACAGATGAGAACACTGAGACTCACCGAGCTGAGTAACCAGCTGGAAGTCACAGAGCTGACAAATGGCAGAGCCAGGATTCAAAACCAAGTCTTCCGCCTCCAAAATCGAGGCACTTTTCATTCTGCAACTCTGCCCCCATCATAGAGAATTTCTCTCTTGGTACCAGCTAGCACGGCTGAGTGAGTGACAGAGGTGTCCTTAGAGCTGACTCAGGCTGGAGTGGGGTCTGGAGACCACTTGCTGTGCTAGCCTGTAATCTTTAGTTGCTGGCTCTGGGGAAGCCCAGGAGGTCCCCGGAAGATGCCTGAGCTAGAAGGAGCTATTTGGAGCCATTCAAGCAACTTGGAGAGGGGGCTACTAACCAACTGATACAGAGATGTTTGAATGTGTTAACAACAGTACAGCCAGGCTGGTGCACGGTCAAGACTGCAGTCCTCAGAGGTAAAGACAGAGCTGTTTCACAGAAGAAGGGCAAAGGTCAACTGACCTCCCAGAATTTCTTCCTTGCTTGGGATTGCTGGCCCTTGTCAACCCAGGGATGCTTTTCTAGCAATGCTGCAAAGCTCACAAGTCAGAGTCTAACTCTTCTACTATTTCTTAGCCTTCTGGAATCAGCCTCCACCAACTACCCCTCCAGGATGTGGCTAAGTATGTGCCTTGGTTTTATGGTCTAAAGCTTCACTGGTTCCTGTTCCCAACCTCCCTCTCACTTCATACAAGGCACTGAGGCAGGGGACTCAGAGCTCGCGTGCTTTTCCTGCATCTCTCTCACCTAGGAGTACTGGTCCCTCCCCCACGCCCCTGATCCCATCACTAATGTTTCTGTTCTAATGCCTGCCTGCAGAATAGGGCACATCTTCCTTCCAGGAGCTTCCCTGGACCACTGCAAAGTCAGGTTCAAGAGGATAACCTTGCTGCATTGGCAACTCCAAGATTCCAGAGACATCTACTTGGCAAGTTGGGAGAGAAAGTGGAAAATTGCAGAACCAACCCCCTGTCCCAGCTCTGTCCTCCTACAGCTGCCTTCAGCAGACATTCTGAGGCCCAGCTCCCTTCCCCAGGAATGAAATACAAGCTGAGACAGCACCTATGAGAAATGCAGTGCAGACAGGCAGACATCGCAGATGCCAAGGAAAGTCACACACTAACCCTCTCCTCAAGGCCTGAGCCTTCAACATGTCTGATACATTTTGTGGTTGTTGACTTTTATTGTTGTTTTTTAATTGTTATTATTAGTTTATCATTATTAGCAACCTGCTATAGGATATCTCCCATGATCCATAATAAATCTCAGCATGGCTTCATCACCTACGACTCAACAGAAATCAAACGAGTTCATGTTTGTGCCCCATATGCAAGTCAGAGCCACAGGGCACCACTCTGGTTGATGTCCCCCCACTGTCCAGGCCATATTTGATAAGAGGTCTCAAGTCGCACAGTCTGGTGCCTCATTGGTTACAGGAAAAGGTTTTTGCCTCCAAACCTCCATTAACCCATTAACCCAAGGCTTGGGTCTTAAGCCCTGAGGATGTCCAGGGAGCCTTGAACTTGCCTGTGATGGGGAGAGGATGCTGTGCAGAGTCTCAGAGCCCAGATGGGTGTCCCTCCAAGCTGGACCAGGGGCAGGTATCATGTTGGTTGCAATGGATGGCAGGTTGTTTGGATGTGACCAAAACGCCGCCATCAGGGTACCAACTCAGTTTCTGCCCAGCTCCTTGGTGATGTTGATCAGAGTGAAAGCAGAGGCCTACCCACCACCTTTTTTTTCCAACTCGTGGTTTATTTTATCTAGACTGAGTAAAAAAGAACCTCACTCTCTGAGCACATCCCAAATCTTTCTCCTTTACCCTTATAACTAGGTACTTTTGCACTAAAGTGAGAAAAAGTATCTGCAGTGTTGGTTTTTATATGTGGTTACTCAGTAGCTGAGTCAAGCCTGTCGCTGTCTACCTCAGGAAATGGATGGCAGGAAGAAGTACACCAAGCAGAATTTTGAAACAGCCAATGTTGGAAATGCTATTTTACATTATGTTAATGTATTCATTCTTCTAGCTCTCAACAAGGGTTTACTCTTTGCTGGTGACTGTATATAAGGCATCTGAAAATTGAAAGATGCATTCTAGATCAAATACAAGACTAAGTCTCGAGGAGTGGTTGTCTGTTTTGACTACTCTTCATTTTCCATGGTTCACCTTCCCATGAGTACAGTAGATAAAAAAAACTTAGCAATGAAAGCTAGAAAGACAAAAAAGAATTATGTATTAAACTGCCTAAGAAACTTCTCTACTTGAATATCTACTAGTTGGAAAGCAATCAACGTGGCCAAGACAAAGTTCTTCATTTTGTCCCCCAACCAAATCTGCATGCCCCCCACCCTCCACAGCATCTTCCACATAGAAATAATGCCATAATGATTCCACTCAAAAATAAAAGCACCCAATTTTATTGAGCACTTGTTATGTGTGAAGCATTATCCTAAATGTTTTCCATTTAATCCTCCTTATAGCCCCATGGTATAGGTAGTATTATTATTCCTACTTGCCAGTTGAAGAAATTTGTTTGAAATGTCACCATACATGAAAATTGGATGGAGGTGATCAGGGGAGGAAAATGTTGTACCCTGCTTTAGCAGTGGAAGTTATAATAGGTCATATTTTGAACAGCAACAGATATTTTCTGAAAGTTAGTTATTGAAAATATATTGGCTGAAATATGCAGATTTATTTACCAAAATATGAAAATATGCCATTTAATCCCAGATATTCCATGTCTTAGAAACCTAATAAATTTCTTCACCCTTATGAGGTAGTTTCAGGAAAAAAATAGTTAAGGCCTGGTGGTATTCACAGCATTCACTACAAAAAATAAAATATCTACAACTACATAAAAAAACATCAATGAGCTCACAACTCTCAGACACACATATTACACATTGGACTTTTTATTTATATTTCTGTAGGATCTTCAATATCCATATATTTGGTGTCTGATTTTCTCATGTTATGGGATTACACAAAGATGGAAAGTTGTCAGTGTAAGACAATATCCACTGCTAAACTCATCTCTAACGAATTAGTCCTGTGGGAAAAGGCGGCATCTATCTTCACCAATCATGTCAACATTTTTGATGTCTTCATCAGTCAGACTCCAGCCAATTGTCAGATATAAATGGGGAGAGTCAATAGCAAGATTTTCTGAGGTCAGTCCAAGTGATAGTGGAGAACTCTTGGGATCCAAGCAAAACTTTAGACGATGAAGATCCAGCAGGATTCAATCTTCACAACAAACATTGGGCAGTAGTCAAGTGAAGAAGACAAAAGTCAATAAAGGTGATTAGTGTGTCCCCAAAATGAGAATTTTAATATCAATGTGTAATGATCCTTCCCTAGGGCTCCTCATAACTTTGGACAGCAAAGCATATAAGCATGGCCATGTTGGGTGTTTCTGAAATGATGCTAACATTCTATACTCTGGGAAACAGACACTTCTTCCCTACACTTTGGCTTCATCACTCGTTGGCCGCACAGTTCTTTCTGTTCACGCTGTCCTTCCTTTGAAAATGATCACATTTCAACCTCTCTGCTCAATTTACTTTTGTTCATCCTCTAACACTCAGTTCAAGTGTCGCTCCCTCAGAGAAGCCGCCTATGTTTCCATATAGTTCTGGTCTACCTCTTTCACATTACCGAGTATTTAATAACAAACTAATTAAACACTTAATCATTTAATTGGTTCTTTGACATCTGCTTCCCTCATAAACCTACAATTTCTATAACATCAAGGACCATGTTTGTCTTGATCATCACTGTATCTCCACCCTCAGCACTGGTGTATAGCAGGTGCTATATTCCCAGTAAGTGTTCGCTTAATTATCCAGGGAGTGCGCCCCAGTGGCAGTTAGAAAAGCAAACGCTCCTTTTTCCAGGTGCCTGTGTGAAACAGCCCAGATCAATGAGACAAAACCAGCACCTGCTGGGGGCTCCGGGGGCTGCTTCACTTTCCTGATAAATGGGACAAACATCACCGGTGTTGGCTTCTTCCACACTACCTCCTGCCTTGAATATGGCCGTGATGCTTGGAACTACAGTGGCCATCCTGTGGCCGTGCAGGAGTCAGAGCCAATCACACAGACTTCAGACCTTCTAGTTTTGAAAAACTAAAGTGACACTGCCGAGATCCAGACACCTTGCTAAGTAAGCAAAGCAAAGCCCTGTCTCAAGTAGTTTAAGCTACTGGAGTTTTCTGTTACTTGGGGTGAAAGCATTTCTAACAGAAATTAGCATTGTGTTGAGTTAAGATATCCCAACACTCTGAGATTTCACCATCTGAAATTAAAAGAGATCAGATATCTCTTACATCCAGCAGCACTAAAACTGACTCTAAGGCAATTCACAATCTGGTAGCTTACAGAGGGAGGAGGAAGAAGAGATTAAAATACAGTCACAGAGAAAGTGCTTTAATTTATATGTTGGTCTCAGTAAAAGCGAGTGTGTATCACTTTCTCTTCCTCCACCAACATTACTATGAACAGTGCAGCTACGGCAAGTAAAACCCACTAACAGCGTAGTATAGAGCCTGATGTCAGCTCCGTTAAGAGTGGGCAGCCGCTAGCTGCTCCTTCATCTCCTGACATTAATTATGTAATTAACTATGTAACTAATTAATTATGTAACTAATTGACAACCACATACTTGAATCCTGACCTTTTGCTTTCATGTCAGCTCATTTTCTTTAGAATAAAAACAGAAAAGAACAATGTTTCTCTGTTCTATGTGTAGCTATAATTAATTCCAAAAATATCTATCCTTCAGCCACATACAGCACTTTTTACAGTCATTGGAGGCGTCACTGGTAAGGCACACGTTGTCACTGCATTCTCAGAGCTATTAATAAGGCAAAGCTAACATGTTGCCTCTCAACTGGAAATTTATTCCCCATATCCCAGCCTTTGAGCGACGGCTGCGCTCTCAGCCAAGCTCAACCGCTGTAATCACAGATTCAGGATCTGAGATTGAGCTTCTCATAGAAATCAAGAATGAGCTGGATTTTTCATATGTACATACACACACAGCCTGTCTTTTTTGTATCTTAGCTCAGATATCATAGTGCATTGTGTTCTATCTAATTGCAATAAAATTTCTGACACAATATCCATTATATGTGAAATTTACATACAAATGGCAAATAAACAGAATCCTGCTGCTGCGTGTCGGTCTGAGGTTCTTGTGGTCACAAATCCTATTAGGGGCTTTATTAACCTTCAGTGATGGAAATGCTCTATCTGAGCCTATGGATTTCAGCTCTGCAACCCAGCCCTGCTGCAAAATGGAATCCAACTCCTTAAGACTTTTTTTCTACAACCCAAAGCCACAAAATTGAGTTATTGCCTTTATGCTGTAGAAAGCATTGAGAATATCTGCCCAATCTCATTTTTTCAATTAGCCATAAATGTTCTCCTTTCTCCTTCCATTCCACCCCGTAATTATACCTGGCTAGTGAGCACAAAGTGGTACAAGTTAACCAATTAAAATTTCAAAATACTGGTAGCAGCCGTAAGTCTAGGCCAGACAAAAAAAAAGGGAAGGGGTAGCAGTAGCAGCTGCATTAGGAAGCCTTGGGTGAAGACCCCAGAAAACCTCCTTAGTGAGACAGCCTACCTCTCCCTGGTTTCAGGTTGAACCCAGGTAAGAAACATCCAGGACTCCCAGAACTGACAAATTCCAGGCATTGCCAACCTACCATTACCTTTGAGACCAGCTGCCTTCTGTTTCTAGGTAAGGAAGAAAAACCTAGTTGAAGATGAGCTGAACTGAAGTGTGCACCACACAAACCCTAAAAAGAATTCAGGAGAATTTCCCGTTCCTCATGGAATTCAAATTTTAAAAGTTATTTCAGATTTTTTTGAAAATTAAAATATTTATTAAATCATTAAAAAATAACATTAATAAACCCATGAGATAATGTAACTAAGTTTTATGAAAAATAACTATTTTTTGAAAACCAAAAATAAAACTTTGGGGCTACCCAGTGGCATAGTGGTTAAGTGCGCTCATTCTGCTTTAGCGGCCCAGGGTTTGTGGGTTCAGATCCTGGGCATGGACCTACACACCATTCATCAAGCCATGCTGTGGCAGCATCTCACATACAAAGCAGAGGAAGACTGGCTCAGATGTTAGCTCAGGGCCAATCTTCCTCACCAAAACAAACAAACAAACCTATGAGAAGAGAGGCATAGTTTTGCATTTTGGCAAATCTCCAATGCCTGGCTTAATAAAAGACAGCTGGATTCTCACATCAGTTTCTGCATTCGATCTGTTGTAATATCACACATCTTGTAGCTTCTGGAAGATTCCACTGTACACACGAGAAAGAATGAAAGCGAAAAAGCAAATAACAACTTGCTGCTGCCCCTGTTGCTACTGCTGCTGCTGAAAGAGTCTTAAGGACTCCATGGGTCCCTGGAGCCCATCCTGAGAACCGCGGCTTTAGATCAGCACCATTGTGGATCCAGATCAACATGCCATTCGTGAGCAGCATCCTTCAGGTATAAAAGGCCCGTTACCAGTGCTCTCATGCCCAGAGTGTTGGAAAGCCTTTCACAGGAGGCTCTGCTTGGCTCAGGTTCACATCACGCCCTCTGCCATGTGTCTTTCACGTAACCTGCTAGTGACCCCACCAAAAGAAGAAAGTGACCTGCTTTTAGTGTCTCAAAACTCGTTCCACCAAACCTTGGTATAGGAAGACATAGAAACTGAGGCCAAAGACATTGTGCTGTGTCCAAGATCTATTCGCTGGTAAGCAGAATGAGAAGACAGGATCTAAAGTCACGGAAGATAATCGCAGACGAGTCCCAGCCCTCATTGCCTTCACGATGGACCGGCTGAACTGCGACTATGGCTCCATGTTAATTTGCCTCGTCTCCCCTGATGAAGTGAAGGATCCTGGGGTTTCAGATTTTAAGGAAGAAGATATTCCAGAGAGAGGAATTTCAGGGAGTTAGAGGGTCTTAATAATACCTTTTCTTTTCTTGGTAACAATTTCTCACGCCAATCCTAAAGGAAAGTCCCTAATGGGGAAATCCAAAGCAGGACCCTATGTATCCTCCACCTGCCAAATGGAGGCACCGCCAAATTGATCCGTCCCACCGCTAAAATCTGCTCTGCAACCCCAAAACTGCTGAGGAACGATTAGGAAAAAAATGAGTCACGTGGGTAGGACAAGGAATGGGGGTTCTGACTTGAAGAACCTCAAATTTGATAGGATTTATCTAATCGTATTTTATTGCTTTCTAGCACAAGGTACCAGGCACATGAGCTAATTGTTGGATCCAGATGTTGTAGGGGTATTTATCCCACAGATATTTACCGAGTACTTACATGTTAAGCACGGTTCTTAGCCCTCAGCTGGATAATTCAGGCACAGTCCCTTCCTGCACGAAGCTGACACTCTAGCGAGGGTCACTAACACTAAATAAAGAAGCAAATAAGTATTTCCGGGAGTGACGGATTCTGTGAAGAAAATAAAGCTGGATAATGAGAGAGAGTGCCCGGGCTGCAGTCTCTTTGGGATGGAAGTAGAAGGCTCTTTAGAGAGAGGTGATGTTCGAGCTTAGAATTCACTGATGAGAAGAAGCCAGCCATGCTGCCATCCCAGAAAATAACATTCTAGGCAAAGAGAAGAACCACCACAAAATGTCTTGAGGTGGGAAGAAGCGTGGTGATTCACGGAACCCATAGAAGGGCCCCGTGGCTGGAACACAGGAGCAGGGGGTGGAGGGTTCTGAAAGGCCAGGAAGGTGAGCAATGTTGTGGGGAAGTACTTGAGTTTATGAGCATTGGCTTTGAATTTTCCTCATATTCTGCCATGACTCATCTATTCACAATCAAATCTTTCTCAAATATGCATAGAATAAAATGGCCTTTCTACTTTACACCCAAACCAAATTTCAAATATTCAAAAAAGCCTTACTTCAGATTCCAAGCAATTCAAAACAGTCCCTTTGCTGGCTCCGTAAAACTTCTCTTTCCTCCAGAGAAATGGCTCCTAACCTTGATCCTGACGCCCAACGCCAAGGGCAGGCAGAAAGTTCCTTTAGCCAAGCCCAGCGGAGCACAAGTACTGTATAAATGTTTTGATTTCCATTTAGAGGGAAAGCTCTAATATATTTATTAAGTATGAAAAGCAAGTACATTGCCATGGTAAGAACCAAAATCACTGCTAAGGACCTTGGAGGTTGATGCAAGACTTTTAATATGGTATTTCAAATTTCATCCAG